TATCCTAAATGCTCAAAGCAGAGTACTTTCCAGTATAAGCCAAATCCTGCATATTTTGCTTTTAAGTAATGCCACAGCAGATGCAAAACCAGTAGGATTCACACTGATGTTTTCTAGAAAAGAAGAAAATCTCCAAAAAACCATAATCCATGTTTTAGAAGCAGCAGACAAATAAAAAAAAGATTCATTCTTGTCCTGAATTAAACCCCATGTAAAACATTATGTTTCTACCTTTAATTTATTGCTTTAGGATTTAAGGTTCTTGCATTTTTGCATCCACATCTTTTAATATGCACCATAAACTACCTTTTCACAATTTACCAGCTACATTTAGGTGATTCTTTCTCAACTCAATTCTCTGAACTGCCCTTCTTCACAGCACTCAAATGAAAAGAAAATGTTCAAGGCAAGCAAAATTCCCCACCAGTAGAGGACTTGTTGCATTTGAAAGGGTGTTTATATCAGTATTGGGCAAGAAAAACCCAAGCAGCACAAGAAGAAAGAGATGTAGGAACAGTATTCAGACACAGTCTCAGAATATACAGCAAGGGTTCTCTCCATCTGGAGTGCTAAAAGCAATCAACATTGACTGCAATTTGGAAAGGGAATATTAGGAGGTCCAAAGTGCTCAAAATGGTAAAAGCAAAAACTTCTTTAAGACTGCACTATGAAAGTCCACATACAAATATCTTTGTGATCCAGTTCAGTGGAGTTTGATCCAAGTTTATTTTCTGAGACTTAACTGTCCTCTGACAAGGCTTAACTGTGCAACTCTGATTGTGCAAAAGTCCTTAAATAAACTAAAATTAGTTCTTACTACATGTATACACATACTAAAGCTCACTAATCAGAGGTCCTGGGACATCAGACAGATGGAGGTACTTACGTGGACAAAAGTAGATCTCTTACACTTTTACCAGCTACAATGGTTTGAAGGAAATAGCCTTGCAAATAATATTTGAGTTATTCTATCAGACAGTGGGGAATTTTTTTTGTTGTATAAGTCATAAAAGCTACAGAACGTTTGCCAAAATGCAGACCAAGGTTATCTAGCCAACAAAAAAAGCTTAGGAGGAAACATCTCTCTTCATATGGTGAAAGTATATGAAGCCATGAAGCTTCTCAGTATCATGCAAAACTATGCTTCTTTAAAGTTCATAAAGTCAGTATAATTTGACAGTCAATAGGCTCTTGCCAAGACAGAATCACTACTGGATTAAACACTCTCATTTACTAGGAGGCTTGATGAGATAAACAGAAGCAAGTTCCTCACATTTTTCATATCTAAGTCTCACATGAGCTTGTGAAAGTTCACCTGAGTACAGAAACAATCTGTATAACTGCTCTCCAACAGGAGGGGAGCATTTCATAAGTGTGCTTGCAACTTTTGAGACTGAGATGCTCCACACTAAAAATGGCAATTGGCTACTACCAGCCTCCAGGATGGTCAAGGTTGGAACTGGTAAGAATATTTCTCTTTCCTTTTAATGAGCTTTATTACACAAGAAACAACTTTTTACAATACAACACCAGATATGTCAGTCAGATTCAGCAGAGTGAGAATCCCCACATGATCCCCTAGAGAAAAACATGAATGTAACCACTCAGCAGGAACACAGCTACTCAGCTTTCAAGACACTCACAACTTCTGACACATGCACAGTAAAAATTGGCAGCACTGGATTTTACCGAGGGTCCAAGTCAGTTATTTACCTCCACCAGCCACTCAGCTTGCATCAATCTGCTCCAGCATTTGTTAGCAATTCATTAAACAGGATAAACAGGAACTTGACTATAAGACAAAGAGAAAAGTTTCTACTTCTTACAATTCCTGAAATAGAGCCACTTCATATTGGGCTGCCACATGTGTGCTCTGGGTCTTGTATACCCACAGCCCTGATCTCAGTAAGGCAATGCTGAGTGCACACTTCCAGGATAACCAGATCCATGAGCTGTGTACATCTCCCTCTGCCTCCTCACCCAATTCAGACTTGTCCTTTTCTACAATATTTCTTACCTGGATAAGGAAGGCAAAAGATACCTTTCCCCCACTGAAATGAAAACACTTTTCTTTTCCAGTTAAGTGTGCTATAAAAAGACCCAGCAGCACTGGAGTTTGACACTCATCCTCATTTAAACTGAAATCTCTAAACAACATACACTTTAGATATCAGTAAAATAAAAACAAAACTAAATTGCAAAAAATCATTATTATTCAAACTCCTGTAACTTTTATAAAGCAGAAATAGAAGTGCCACAAGTTGTTGCAGTTTATAAACTGAAAGACTATAGAGATTGAAAGACCACTGAAATAATCTTAAATGACATTCAGAATTCTGCCAACACTATGTTTTTGCTGCAGAAATCCTAGGTTCATGCTCTTCAAGGTGGATTTCAAGTGCTAAGGAGCAAATAGTACTAACTCAATTGGATAGTGAACTGTTTGCTGTGTCAAAGCTTTTTGCCAAACACATATATATAATTTTTCTTTTTGCTATATGGATAATCAACCCCAGATGGCAATTTACATAGGCAAAGCATAAAGGAATCCATGCACTGCTGGTGCTCTCAGCCTCAATCAGAGCCAGCATTGGCATTTGAGAATGTCACTGTTTATTTTTAATTGCTGTGTCCCTCCTTTGTGCAGGTTCAAGCGGTCAAAGATGTCGAAGTCCATTAGTAGAACTGGAAGGTGATGCCACTTCATTTGGTGAGAGGGTTCTTCAAATTTAAAAAAAGCAGCTAGTTTGTAACGTCCCTAAATGTACCAGCTGTCAATCTCAGTTACCATTGGGTCAGGGCAAAAAAAGGTCAGAGAGAGTCATAAACCACAATGTGTTGTGAAATGTGCTTCCTGCGTTACCTTGTACGCCTGAGAAAGGTTTGACCTTTTATAGGTATCCTAACCCAGCTCTGCATGATGCTGGCAGGGGTAAGTACAACACACAGCTCAAACTTACAAACATTGCTTCCTTTTACTGTGCCTTGCTTTCCATACCTGTGCAACATGAAGGTGAATGCCCACAAGTTGCTAGTGCCAAAATACTGAACTCTGCCCAACACTGTTATCATCCCGAGGCATGGACACACCTCCCATTTCACACACAGCAGTGGAAGGTTACATTCATTAACAGCAACTGGAAAAATAACTAAAACTTTGAGGGAAGTAGTTAATGCCATAAGAGCCAAATTACCTGGCTTGTCTTTGCAAATGATATAATATTCATCTGCTAAGTTGTCTGTCACCTCAGTGACTACTCTCCCAGTCACCTGGGAAGAAAGCCCACTAAAAAAAGTCACACAAAGTCTTTTCTACTTTTGGAAAACATACAAAGTCTATTTCCACTTTTAAACACCAATTCACAAGTTATTTACTACATTTTTGTCATTTCTTCCTTCATATGGATTCTTAAAAAGCAGATTTAGTTCTAAACACATTTCTTCAAAACATTCTTGGACTACAGATGAAAAGCAGAATAGTCATTTCCAGATATAATCTAGTGATGCATTCTTTCTTTGCAAGAAATAATTATTCTGCCCTGTCTCCCCCATCTCCTGGAGCACAAAATGACAGGAAGTTTGGCAAATGCTATGCCAAAAAGAAAGCAGCAAACTCGCTATGCAAGGCCCTGTTTGGGCAGGAGCCATCTCCCTCTCCTTGCACTCCTGACCACTTGTCCCTCTTTGGACCCCAAGCACAGGCAGGCCCAGGACTGAGAACAGGACACAACAGCAAAGGAAAGAACGCTGCCAAGTGGAAACCAGGAGAGGCTGAAGCTAGAGCCAGAATCCCAGCAAGCATATTCCATGCAGGAATTGAAAGCATGGCTCCCAAAATAGGCTGCACACTGTAAATAAGAATATGGGCAGTGAATAACTCAGCTGGGGAAGCAGAAATGTCAGAGTATGTATGGTACAAATCCCTTCTATGCAAAGGACAATAGGATATGAACTAGATAGCCACAGGTATCACTGAAGAGGCTGGCCAGAAATGAATTGTCCACTACCAGCCAAATACCTCAGGTGGAATCAAAATGCCTGATGTAGTCCTTCGCTTGTCCAAACAGTACAGTGAAAAATTATAGAACAGCATGTTCACTCAATGAAATAGTAAGGATCTTATAGTAAAATGACTTGAAGATAATACTGACAGCACCAAAAGAGTCCCATCCAGGCTTGTTAGGCCAGAACTTACCTGCTCACAGAATGTAATCAGCTCAGTCCACTTTTAAGTGGCAGCTGCAAAATACTCCTCAAGTCTTAATTTGTTTTGGGCAATTAATATTAAGGGAAAAATCAAAGCAGTGATAATCAGCACCTGTGAAATAGATTTCACATGTTCCAAGCAGAAAGTCACTTTGTTTTCTTTTAAAAGATTAATATATTTTAAGGAAATGAAATAGTAACAACAGCTGAGCAGTTCAAAGGCCATTGGAAGGTCTCTTTGACTTTCTACTGGCTCTCTGAAGAGCCCAATAGCAGCAAGCCACCTCCTGCATCCCAGCAGTTCTCTCAGAACATGCTGACACAAATTAAAGCCTCAGCAAACAAAGAGAATGTGCATCAAGCATTTCAATGCCCTCTTCTTGTCATTACCTTTGCTTTCAGACATTTCTGGAAGCCTACCCACATGGAATCTTTTGCAGACCTTCTCACTGCAGCATATCTCAAATGAGAGTAACCTCCCTCAAACCTTGTTCAGTCCTTGGGTGCATCCCAGCTTGGAAACATGCCCACTTTGCTCCTCTGAATTTGAAAGTCTAACATGCTATCTAGATCAGTCTTCTCTTCATCCAACTAAATTATTGAGCAGCTAACTTTACTGACTGCCTTATTTAAAAATCACTATGCCTCTTACTGTATAATCTGGGTTATAATAGAGTACAAAAATAAAAATTGAAAATAATTCAGTAATTTCAGATTGGATGAGAACACTCTCTTCTTTGTTGAGTGTTTCTTTCTATCAGGAAAACCAGGGGGAATGAAAATGAGAGACTCACCTTCAGGGCAGGAATCTCCACATTGTCACCAAGGCTAACAGAGCCAGAGAGAATAGTCCCTGTCATCACTGTGCCTTGACCCTTGATAGAGAAACAGTGGTCGACTGCCATAAGGAAGTGTCCTGAGGGGTCTCTTGATGGCAGGTAAGCCTGAGACTTCAAGACCTGAAAAAAAAGATAAAAGCAGCACCATGCCTGGGTGAAAAGTCATGACAGCAACACAGCAGAAGGCAGGCAAGCGGATGATTGATTGAACAAGCTTGCAATTTTACTGATTTCAGGCATCTCCCAATGAGCTTAGAACTCACCAATGTCAAATTAACTGTGTGTGCCATAGGGGAGGTGCACACTTAGCAGCAGGAACAGTTTGATTTTCTGCCTTAGAAAGATTTGGTGCTGCACATTTAGCTTGGTTAGCAAAACCTCACTGGCTATAAAGTTGCTGCCAAACTCAATATAAACACTGCAGCAAAGCAAAGAGGGAAAAAAAATGTACATGTGTCATCTCCCCCTTTTTCCTTCCTCTCCCAAAAGCACAATTTTACAGAGCATTTTGCTACTTCAGCTTTTTTGGATTTTGTGAAAATGAACTTATGTACAGATATTAGTGCCCCATAAAGCCCATCTCTGTCTCCCTCCCAGAAAAACTGTAATACTGGGTTAAGTTTTCAAATTCAACTTCCCCTTCAGATTTTTGTTAATGCTTCTTGAAGGATCAATCCATTCAGAAAAACTATATAAGTACCATTTTCTAGAGAAATTCTCTGAGTTTAACATTTCTTTTGTTGACAAATACTATATTACTTAAAATATGTTATCAGACAAAAGATTTTTATTATAGAAAGGAAGTAAAGTACTCAATAATGCTTCAAAGGAACTGGTTCACTCCCGTCTCAAATCACTTTTGATATCTCTCTCTGTTACATCACCTGCATATACAATTGGTACTGCCTTTAACATCTGTTTTTAAGGTCAAAAACTGTAGCCCAAGCCCAGGTCATAATGGCAGAACAATGGAGAGTCTCTTAGGAAGGACAGAAGGGATAATAGCTCCAAGTTCAATGGCAAGGCTCACACAGCATTTGCCAGCTCATCTAATATTAGGTTTCAGTTGATGAAACAGCTCCAATGAGAGTTTCCTTCACATGTTTTAACCCCGGAGAACATCCCAGTAAATCTAACAGGAGCCAGATAAAGGCAGAATTAAGCACTTGCACATCTCCTCATCTTTAGAAACTGCTGGGGGCAGATTGGTCCTGGCTAAGTCTGGTCTAAGGCACACTACATCCCATCCCCGTGCCCATCCTGCCTCACACAGCCTGGCAGGTGATGCAGCATTCAGTGCTCAGCAGCCTTGTGGAACATCCTGCCTTTATACAAGCCTGGCTGCCCAGGGCCAGGCATCCCTTGATTTTTGAGGATGATGATGCACCTTAACTTCAGCAATTTAAGTACTTTTAACCTGGCAGCATCCAAATCAGAATTTGACAAGTCTTCAAAGAATGATGCCTTTGTTTTGAGACTTTTTTCTGCTATCTTAAATAGCAGTGGCATCCCTCCAGGGCAAAGATGTTCCTCTCCCTAAACTAATGACAGACAGGGTGGCAAGTTTATTGCAAGCTACAAACTGCTCTCAGTTACTTTAGGTGTCCTGCCCTTCACAGTATAAACATCATGCCATGTAACTAAGGGTTTGGAACATCTGAGAATGGACATTTTCATGTTATTATTATGTTCTTCAGTGAGTACCTCAATTAATTCAGAAATACCCTGTGGATTCTCAGACTCTGGGGCTTCGGGTCCACCAGGCTTTGCTGCAACAGCAACAATAGGACAACCAGAGAATCTGAAAGAGACAAAGACTTTCACCATCAGATCACAGATCTCCTACACATGTCAATATAGAGAACTTCCAGGCTCATCTGAAGGCTAGGAAACTCTCTAAAATTCCAATTCATCTGCTCTTCTCCCATTGTGACAGACAATTTCTTCCTAAATTGCCAGCAGATCAGCACTACTGGACCTCACTATGAAAGCTTCAGTCCTGTTGCACATTAGCTACTGATTCAATGCTGTGACATCAAATGCAAGATTCAGTTCATTTCAGAAGCAAACATCTGCTGTTACCCAGTCTTAATGCCGTGGTTTGCATCCAAAGTCACTTTAATTGGAGATAGGCATTTTTTAAACTTTGAATAAACAATTAAAATTCTAAAGTCATAACCTTCAAAACCAGAGCCAAATGCAAGATGCCTCATGATGCCTACCTGAGTCTGCAAGATCTGCAGAAAACAGAAAGATCTAAAGCTACTGAAATCAAAGTCTGCAAAACTCACAAAACTCAAAAACACAAAGGTTCAGAGAGGAGCAGTGCAGCCAGCTGACCTCAGTTCACCTTTTATCCTACAATCAGTTTTATTCTTCAAGTCCTTAACTTACAGCAGATTTTCTTTTTTTTTTTTACAAATTCAGTCAGCAGACTTAACTTTGCTCCTTAAAATGCAAACTAGTGTAATCAGTAATTACACCAAAAAGTGACTGACTCTCTTAGATACCTAATTCTTATGCAACAGATTCCGACCAAAATTAATTATTTTGGCCATCCTCTTGACATCCACCTCCCACTGATCTTCTCACAAAAGGGACCAAACAGGAGGGAAGAGATGGTGGTTTGCTAAAGAAATGTTAAGTTCTAAAAGGGAGCTCACTCAGTGACCCAGCTGTAACCAGGCACATGAGGTATTTTCTTTGTTTACACACCATAAGCCTGAGGCATCTAAGGACAAAGGGTAATAAAAACATGCACTGAAAATTCCCATGATTAACCATAAAACTTTTGGAAATGTGTTTTCATACAAGTGTTTCAGAGCACTGTATTGCAATAAACAGAAATTTACACATAACTAAATGCTTTATTCCTCTTCCCATACACCAGAACAAAGTGCAGTAATTGTGTAGTGCATTTGGAGGCACTTCTAAACATGATCCAGCCCTACTGAAACTCTTACTCCATCAAACCAAATTTCTCTCTGCAGAATTTAGATCCTGCTGGACAAAGGGAGAAGCTGATATGCAAAAAAATATTTTAAAAATAGAAATTCCATTCACAGAGAGAGTTTGCTTTTAGTTTTGGTATCAATTCACAGAAAACCGAGTTTTGATTAGGTAAATTCACAAGTATCAAACTATGCAAATATACAACAGTTACCTTTCTCTGCCTTTTTTTTTTTGCCTTCCATACAATTTCCTGACAACACTACAATAATTTCCCCAGCATTGGTGGCAACATCTACTCTACAACTGCAACAGCCTTCAGCTTTGCCGACTGCTATGGAATTCCGCATGCACACCTATGTGTATTTTGGAAGTATTTCAACAAGTAAACTATTTGAAAGAAAAACTAAACCAAAAAACCACAATTGCCATTAGAATAAGAACAGTTTAGGAATAGAAAAGCATTTTAAAACCACACATTTGGAGATTCAAAGTCAAGTGGGAAAAAAGCTGTGAAGAAACTCCACATGCCCAAGATACAACAGGACAGGCACTTTGCAATCACACCCAGATCAGCAGTGCTTTCAAAGCACCATCAAGCAGACTGCACATGCCAAAACTGAATTTTGGTTCTCTCTCCTCTGTACTCTGAATCCTATTCCTTAGATTCTTCAACTCAAAATGTGACCTGACAGTTATGTCCCCTTATATCCCTGAGCAAAGCAAAGATGTGCTGCAATCACATCCAACAGTTCTTCACCTGGATATTCTGGCTTTGTATTATCTTATCCAAACTCCAAGCAGCTCTTTCAATCTAAAAGCTTAATTACAGGAAAACATTTCTCTACACATGATACTTGCAGAGGTGAATTTAGAATTGCATCTGAGTTTCTGTAAATCTTTTCACTCTCTTCTCATCATTCTTGCTGGATGTGCCAGCATGTTTAGAAGCATGTTGGAAGAGAAATGTTGGTATTTTTGCCAAAACAAATTTTGTGACAAGTTATCTGCTCGTATTACTGTTCACTTACTTGGTATTTTCCAAGGTCTTCTGCATTTTCTTAGTCATCTTCTCAATGGCACTCTGTCTCTTCCCCTCTGGAAGGAGATCTATTTTGTTCAGGACTACCACCATCTTCTGGCAGGCAATTTGCCCAATTACCAAGCACTCTGCTGACTGTGTCTGCATCCCCTTTGTCACATCTATCACAAGCATCATTAAATCGATAATCTGGGCACCTGGAGGAGAACTCACAGTCAGTATTGCCACAGCATAAAAAGATTAAGGATCATTTTCTCAAATAGTTTCCATTTAAAATTGTCAACATATGTACAAATGCCCAGAAAGACAAACAAAACACAAGTCAAAGTTAGCACTGAATTCCACAGCTCTTTTGAAATTAAGACCTTGGGAATTTAAGCTATTATAGGCTATCACTGAGTATAAGAATAAGGGAAGAATGTGATAGTTCAAGTCTAAGGCTGCTATCACTGCATTAAAAAAAATACTAAGAAAATTAAGCTGGTAGCAACATAGGCATGACATTTGCCTCAATTAAAAATTATAATATAAGCAGCCAAGCAAGAATCTAACACAGCCAAAGAAACACACAGCAACACTGCAGGGAGATGCACACTCAGAGCAACCCCAACAAGAGCCAGCCAGGTACCCCATAAAAATATCCACAAGCCTCAGTCCCTACCTGCTTCCCACCATTTTTCTTTCCAAGCCCAAAATTTCATAAAAGTGAAAACCATGATCACCACCACAGACAGGTTTATCCCAAGTCTAAAGAAATTCTTGAATCTCTCAATGTTAGGAAGAGGCAATTTAAAAGTGTATTGCCATTCCCTCCCAATTCAGATCCACATAACTTGAACAAGTAATTTAAAACACAGAAACAGATCTGATTCCTAGATCTCTTCGTGGAAAGGATCCTAAATTTTAGGCTGACATTACCTATAACACTTATGGATTATTTTTATTTTTCCAAGTATTGTTGTCATGAACCCTTAATCTTTTGATTGAAGCAACCTGAATTTCATGGATTTAAATTAGTTTCCAAGGAAGCATTTGATGAACATTGGGCCTTCTGCTAATTACATTCAGAATTTTCTTGTTTCATATGAGGTAACTGAAATGCTCTGAATACTAAAACAGAAAAGTGCAACAGACTCAAGTGTTGAGAAAGTTTAAACAAAGTTAAAAATAATAAAGCTGAAGTACCAGAAAGTCATATTCCAAAAAAAGTACATTTTGAAAGATGATAAAAGCTAGAAATCATGTGAAATTCCCGTTCTCTAACTTAAGTACTTTTAATATTGGCCTTAAGATCAGAAGAACAAGAAATCAATACAACTGTTCCTTGTTCCTCCACACTGTCCAGCCTTTCCCTTGCCTTTCTTTGCTTTTAAGACTTTTACAATGGCTATGACAACAGCTCCCCTTGTTCCCAGTTCCCATGAACTCAGGATAGGAAATCATTCCGAGGTTGAAGTGCATGGGTGAATGAGTGGGTGGGAGCTACAAGAAAAAAAAAATTATGGCTACAAATGACCATTTCAACCTACCAGACCTTTCATCTTGTAAAAATGAATGTTAAGACCTTCAGAGCACTAGTTGGATAATTATGGTATTTCCAGTGCTCCTGTAGAATTTTCACCCATCATTTCAATATCTCTCCCTGACAAACCAAAGATGGGCTTCATATCCTCAAAAGTAATTTGCAGTTTTATTGTTTTGGGAATTGTAGTGATTTAGAGCTTGCTTAAATTTCAATACAAACATCATTAAGACTGTACAAAAGGCTCAGACTTTATACACCATCCAAGTGCAGACTTAAAGGTCAGAAACCAAGGGAAACAAACAGCATGAAAATAGTTTGAGTGGGACAAAGCACTTAACAATCAGAATGGACCCAGTTTTGTGAATGCATACAGCAGGGCTGTTTTAAAACTAATACACAGATTTTGTATTACACTGTTCTACACAGCTGATATCCTCAAAAGGAATGGGAATAAATAATAGAAACCAAATCATCAAGTCCAATTCTTTATTAATACTATAAAAGGGACATTCTGGTGACACAGCAATGCTGCAGCTTGAGCCTTACCAAACATGACTGTGACTACTAAAGCACAGTGATCCTCACGCTCCAGAACTAACCACAGCCACCAGATCCAAACCTGGCCTTGAAAAGGGCAGCTGAGAAGATGCATTATCTTCTGTACAGTGTGGTATCTTTCCCTCCAAAAGAACACAAAATCTGCACTGAACTGTAATATGTAGTTTCAGTAAAAGGAGTCACTTTACCTTCAAACTCCAAATCAACTGCTTCAAATTCATTTGCTATACAGCAAATGCTTGCAATTGCTGTATTTATGAATCTATTAGCAACACTTTAAAAGAGCCATAAAAATCACCAACCCAGTTGCTAGAAGGTTGAGAATGTCTGCCTTGTGGCATTGCCTCATCTTCATAGAAGATGCACAATACATTCCACAGAAAAATTCCAGAAACACCAGATGTACCATGACACTGCAGACAAAAAATCAAGTCAAGGAGAGCAGCAGCACACACAAGTTCACAAACACTGTCAGCATAATTATTATGCCTCCTCCAAAGCCCCAGGGGACTGACTGGCCACAGCTCCTAAGAGATGGCACAAGATGGGACAGAAGGCACAGCAGGCACTCGAGCAGGGTGGGAAGCTGCTGCCCTTCACAGGATCATGGAGCCAAGGCAAAGACCAGGACAGCACTGACAGAAACACCCGAACTGCCCTCTCTCTGAGGCATGAGGATGTTTTGTAATGTTTTGTATGTGTTTACTCATGCACATCAAGGCAGGAGTGCCCAGGTTCACAGGACCCTTGAGTTACAAGGTGAAAAAATAATGCTAAAACTTGGTTCCTCAACTTTCCTTTCTGAGCTGTTTAATAAACCATCTTTGACAATTCACCTTCTTCTCAATCCCCCATCTTCTCCTACATAGTTTTACATTTTGTTTTATTCTAGAACCCATTTTTTTCATTGCCCATCAGCCATGCATAAAGTTCATTAAATACCTAAACAAAATCATCAAGAGAAGTGTACTAGGATTCACCAATGTCACATTTCAAATCAGAAAAGTTGGCAAGATGACAAAACTGTAACCCTCTCCCATGGAACACCTCATGCAATGCATTTTCTCCTCATAACATATAAATGGTAATAGCAGACTTATAATATGTTTAATTTCAAATTTACTACTTAAATAATCTCTAGTAAAGAATCAGTTTACTATCATATCAGAGTTCAGTCAACAAAAGGAACAATATTTCTGAATCATTTTCTGCAGCAGGGTAAGATTTCACAAGGAACAGTGAAGCAAGGATGTACTACATCAGTACTCTCATGAATACAACCTCACTTGGAAAGATTTTTCAATTGGGACATAAAAATAATGCAGATATACTATGTGGAGACTCAAAAACAATAACAAGAGTTAAAGAAAGTGAAAATATTACTCACACCTGCACTATCTGATAGCAAAATGTCAGCCATGGGGTCTTGCACAAAATGGAACAGAAGAACTGAAAGAAGTCATAGGACAAATAAAAAGCACTCCTCAAAAAAAGAGACAGAATATGGGCCTACACAGTTAAAAATAATAATAGGGAAGAGATTATGGACTATTTGAATATTCCTCAAACCTTCAGAATAAGAAAAAGGCTTGAAATTACTTTGAACAAAGCAGAGACCCGTGCAAAGGACAGGTCTGCATACAAGGAAGCACAGCAATCAAAACCATTTTATCTGCACTGAAGCAGGTCACATAGAATCAATGAAAAAGTTAAACTAAGATACTCAAATTATTTCTTCTATGGAGAAAACAGGGGTGTAACCTTTTATTTACCACTTCATCTATGAAAGACATGTTCAAGAACATTGAAAAGATAAATCCTGACATGTGATTTCTCACTTTGCTTGGAAATGAAAGATCAATTATTGGAGTACCCTTTGTGTGATGACACACAGCTCAGATGAAGCCTTGCAAAAAGCAAATGAAATAAACAAGTTGTCATCAGAAAACACAAGGGGGTGGAGAAAGATGGGCATTATACTTCCAAGATAAGCAGCTAAACCACAGAAAAAATAAAGTAGATAGTCTGAGTGAAGAAAAACAAACAAGGAAGATAAAACATGAAGTGAGAGATTTTGGATGACAGCCAGATACAGGAAAAACACAAGACCAGCAGCACAGCATCACAAAGACTGCAAGTGCCAGCTAAACCTGGAGGCAGCAGCACTCATTTGTATCACAAAAGTGACAGGAAACACAAAACTCAGAAAATAAGAAAAATACCTTCAGAGGCAAGATAAAGAAAAGGTGCAGCTACTGCTTTGAACACACAATCCATGCTAGCTCCTGAATTCTGAAGAGTATCTGATTATATAAAGTCATCAAGGAAGTAATTTATTACTCTTTACTCAGGAGATGAGTTGAATCACAGATGTCAGAGATTATGCCATATTTCCAAAGAGCAGAAGGAAGCAACTCAAGCTTCCCTGAAGTGCACTTGCAACAGCATTCCTAGCTAGCTCTCACTCTTGGATCCTGAAAGAACTCACCAGCTGCTGCCTGAGTACACTGAAAAAGTATAGAATGCATTTTAAAAGTATGTATTGATCAACTTTTAGTCTTTTGGAGAAAATTCACTGCATTCTCTGTATTTGCATTATTTAGTTTAATGTATCTTCAAACCATTGCCAAAATAGGAAACAAAGCCTGCCCAGAGTTCCAGGCAACAAGGCTGCAGACCTTCATCCCCTCCATCAAATTCACTCCTCATAAATGTGTTTAGTGTCACACACAATTAGTAAAATCCAGCTCTTATATCAGTTTCACAGGGAAACACCATGGGAGTAGCCAAGATACCAGATGCATTTTGGAAAACAGTAAAGAACTGTAATTGCCATGTTTTATTCTGGAGCAGAACATTCCATATTAAATAAAAAACCTCCTTCAAGCTCAACCACAGAGGCTGTTGCAGTTCTGCATGTACATGAACTCAAACCACCTTCATTTGTGCAGCCTGCTGCATGCTTGTAAATTTTATACCTGAACTCCCAGACTGAGCTGTGTCCCTACAGCAAAACATAATATTAACACTAATTTAGAAAAAAAAATGGCATTATGAGATCTAGGAAGACAAACAAACAAACACCTCAGCCTCATGTATTAATTTATCAGTTCC